TAAGAAAGGAGTTTGAATATTTAGAAATATTTATACAAAGATCACCACCACCATAATCAAATGTAGAACATTTTTTCATGATCCCACATTAATTCCCTTTGTCTTTTGCAGTCAGCTTCTCTCCACCCACTTGCATGCTACTATTAACTTTTTTCTTTACTATAAGTCAGGGCTTCTCAATCTTAGCAGTATTAATGTTTTGGGTTGCTTTCCTTTGCCGGGGGGGATTGTCCTGTGCATTGTAGGATTTCTTAGCAGCATCCCTGGCTCCAATCCACTTCATGCCAATAAAACTCTCCCTCTCTCTTCTCAGTTGTGACAATCAGAAATGTCTATAGACATTGCCAAGTGTTCCCTGGGGAGCAAAACCATGTCCACTTGAGAACCACTGCTATAAGATTAGTTTTTCCTGTTCCAACATTTCATACAAATAGAATTACATAGGATACATTCTTTGTACCTGTTTCCTTTCTTTTAGCATAATGGTTTTGAGATTGACCCAGATTGTTGCATGTCCCATTCAATTGTCTCTTTTTACTGAGATGGCAGTGTTGAAAAACTACAGTTTGTTTAAACATCTACCTTTGGTTTGTATTTTCTTCAAATCCCTAAAAATAATTGCTTTTATGTCCTTGCTAATTTCAGTCTTTGGTGAGTCTGTATCTGTTAATCTGTTAGTTGATGTATCTTCAAGTTGTGAGTCACATTCTTCCTTTTTCTTCATGTTAGTGGAGTTTTTGAGGGCATTAGACCTTATTTACACTGAGTGCTAGATTTTATTGTCTTTCTTTAAGGAGTGGTGGACATTTTTTTTGGCGGGCAGCTAAGTTACTTGTGGATCAACTTTACTTTCAGGACTTCCATTTTTTTGTTAGGGTGGATGTATAATTGCCTTCCTTTATGACTAATTTTACCTGTTACCAAGGTATGACCTTTCTGGGACCTCTGTGGAAAACCCAGGTAATTAACTAGTACTCTCCACTCTGTTTGGAACTTGGACATCTTGTAACTCTAGGTGTGCTCTGGGAATTATTCAGTTTATATTCCCCAGCTGTTGCTTGCTCAGCCTTGTGAAATTTCACGCTTAGTCTCCACAGCTGATCAATCAGCAGGCAACTTGACAAATAGTTAACCAGTTTGCTAGAGCTCTTTCTCTCCAGTATTCTATTCCACAAATTTTCGCCTCTTTAATCTCTTTGAAATCTGACATCTGTCTCCTTAATTCAACAAAACCTCCAAGAAGATAGTGGACAATCATAAAGCTCACCTGATTGGTTTCCCTTTTCTCAAACATTACAATCCTGCACTGCCTATTGGCTAATGTCTGAAAACAGTTGTTTGATATATTTTATCCAGTCTGGTTGTTTACAGCAGAAGGCAAGTCTATTCCTAGTTCCTCCATCGTGGCCAGAGGCAAAACTTTTTAAAATATTCTTTTTTTCCTGATTATAAATATAGAAATGTTCCATGTATAAATTTTGGGAAATATGGAATTCTATGTATTATTCATATTATACTCACAGTCACTAATTTAGAATTGTCGTATGCCTAAAATATCTATTATGGAGGAGCTTTCATTTTCCCTTACCTCATGTCTCTATATCAAAGGGCCTTTGCTAGAGTAATACCATTGGCCTCTCCCTGGACTTCCTTACTCATTCTGCGTAAGTTAAGAGGAATGGTTGATAAGTAAATCTGGAAGAAGGAATAGAAGGTCGTGGGCTAGCCTACTTGTAGGCTGCACTTGTAATTTAGCCACTTTTATTTTTGCACTTTTTCTAGCAAGAAGAGTCAGGAGAGGCCTTTGATTGTCTCTGTCTGTCTATGGCTGAATAGATTTATGGTATTCAGTTCAGGGAAGATATCTACAAGGCCATATGGCAGTAGATGCAAGCAATGATGCTTAATTTAGCTATTTGTATACTAACACTGATAACTTTGAACTCTGTTTATCTATACCTGTTGGCTTCTCAGTTGGTCCCAGATTTGGAGAAGATAAAGGAGTTATTTATTGTTCCCCTTAAACTCAGTAGTGTCACAGATAATACATGTTTTTCAGTTAAAACCATATCACATCACTTCATATTTTTAACTTTGAGGAATGCAAACTGTAAAGCATATACTCTCTATGATGGCTGGGGGAAGAGTAGCCAGAATTATAATGCAGGGTACAAAGCTGCCTCTCTAACAGTCTTTTAGTCAGCCTGTTTTCAGCTCAGCATTTCTTTATTGCCTCAAATCCAATTTCCAGCTACCTGAACTGGGTCCTTCAGGCTGTCTACCAACTGGTAGATTCAGGCGCGTACCACATATGCTGCCTCGGTGCTGTTTACAATTATAATGCCTTGTGTTCTTTTCCTTAGAATGAGATGATGAGAAAGCAAAACAGAATAGCAAGTGTGAAAGGAGAGAGAATGGAGAGCAAGAGGAGGGAAGAGTAAAAAGAAAACAGAATTATAAATAGCAGATAGCCTATGAAAGGGCTGTATGGATGTCCTCTGAAGGAGGTAGTAACATCCTTTGTTTGAAGGAGGTAAAAGATGGAGTTACACATGAGTAGAAGAAGAAAATAGAGGAGGAAACAAAGATGAAAAAACTGCATTTTCTTTGCAATCGTGTGTCACTAGTATTTCTTATTAGGCTCTAGGTATTTTGTTCTTGGGAATATGTAATGTGGATATTTTAAATGAAAACAATAAAAATTCAATTTCAATAATGTTGAATTAAGTCTTTACCTAATTCTTGTCAAGATACATTTAACATTAAAAATTTTTTGTTAGCAATAACATAGTTTTCAATAAAATTATTAGCTCTGTTGAAACTTTATGAGTTTATAGTTTTAAGTGTTTTTATTAAAAAGAATCATTTTCTCTTTTGATTTAATGCTTGATAATTTTTCTCTAGTTATTGCTTCTGACTGAGGCTATTTGTGAAATGTATCATTGTAGTCTTGGTATTCAAAGACAGTAGATTAGTGCTGAATATCAGAATTACATATGCTTTCAACAGAACAACTTTTTGCTTTATGTATTTATGTGAGTCCACATGTGTTTGGTGTATGTATCTGTGTATTCATGTGTTTGTATGAGAGAGTATGTGTGTAGCTTTGATATAAAAAGGCTTTTTCTGACCCAAATGTCAAATAGGGAAATAGCTACAAAAATCATGATTTTATATATGATAATCATGAGGATCATGCAGTAATATGTAGCACTTTTCTTAGGGCTAAATAACACTGAAATTTTAGATCACAGGAGTGACATGCCTTGATTACAATATTATCATCTGTTTGTTTATATGTATATACACACATGTACATGCATATATATGACATGTGCATTTCATGAGGGCAGTGATATTGTCTTTATCCACACAGGAGGACTTCTGTATGTAGTAAATGGAATTTTATAAAAATTGGGCTGAAAAGTTAAATTTAAATAGTTGTATTATGCTGGAAAGCTTATTTGATTTTTAAAACCTGGAAGAATAAAGACTTGCTTTCATCATTATAATTTTCTTTTTTAAGAAAAAAGACAGACATTGTTAGCTGAAACCCTCTCAAGTATCAGGTTGACCACTGGTATCTTCCTAGTGGGATTAAGTAACCTAAAATAGAGCTTAGGTAGATGATTTTGTAGTGTTAATGTTCCCATACCCTAATTTAGAGCAGAAACAATTAAACCTTTAAATAATTTCAAAAGGTTCTTGTTCTCTTTTTATCCCCAAAATCTCTTTCAAGAGAAGTGGTAAAGAAAAAGCTGTGAATTAACTTGGCTACTGATTCTCCCATTTTATTCTAGAAAATAAGAGAACATCTTTGCCTCTTTTGTCTCCTTTGAATTTTTACATATGTATATGTCTATATGAATACATATGCATATATCTTTTTTAACAACACTTAAATGTTCATTTACCATATTATTCATTGATTTTTTTAAAATAAAATCTCATGGGTATAAGTACCTTTAAAGCTATGTAATTAAATGGAATCTGCTATGTATTCATGAGTTCACTTAGAAGAAAAGTTATATTTTAGCAATAAATACTTTCCTTAGCCCTATTCATTATCTTCAGTTTATGCGCAGAAAATCTCTACCTCCATCATCTTTGGATCCCAGCAGGATCTGATAATTAAATTGAAATAACAGATTAACAGGAGAAAAGCATAATACAAGTTTTATGTGGCATGAGAGTTCTCATAGGGAAATGAAGACTCAAAGAAGCAGTTACCTGTATACTGAGTTGAACAAAGAATAATAAACTGTGAAAATGTGACTAAATTATGTGGGAGGCTTAAAAGAGAAGTCATTTTAATAAGGTTTGCAAAGTACTCTCTGGTCTCAACTTCTCATCCTTGAAGGTAAATATGTTGTCTTTTCTTCTGGTATAGAGAGTGTCTTTCACATGAGAATTTCATTTTCTTCTTAGAGAAACACCAGGAAGGTTAACATAATCTTGCACTTGCTGTTTTTCAAATGTCTTCAATTTAAATAATCAAGATGCCAGAATAGCATATTTTAACCCCTTCATCAGCAGATTTTTTTCCAAGATGAATAACTAAATGATTGATTAAAGATTTTTTACACTTTCTTTTTGCTTTTAAAGAAGTAAATAAAAAATTGTATCTGAAAGTACCTGAGGAATGAGTTTAGTGTTCCTGTCAGTCTACATAACGAAATTTTAAAATTCATGCTGTCTATTAAAACAGATACTCAGTAATGAGCCATATTCATATAAGAAAAAGGCTATTCAAGAATTATGGTTACAAATCACAATCCATTTTATGAGCTTTTAATAATTTAGTAATTCATTGTTGTGAACTTTTAATACATGTAACAAACAATTAATGGTATAAGATGTAATTACAGAAGAATATCTGTTTCCCTTTGAAAGCCATATGTATTCTATATGGAATTTTCAATGTTTACATAGTTAACATTAATAATTTTTCAGTATATCTAGCATGTCTTATTATAATAATATGTTATCTTTCTGATTAGACAATGATCTTGGCAAGCTTTTATTATGCCTCAAAATATCTGATAAACAAACTGAATGGATAGTAAACTGCCGAAGACAATTTTGCAAAATAATGAAAGCCAAACCTGATATAATCAGTGGAGAGGGTAAGTACATTGTTTCCGTTTTGGGTTTTCTTATGTATGAAAATTGTATTCATAGAATCTGTGGTTCTTAAAGATTAGTATTGGCATATGTAGGAAACATAATGCTAATTCCAGAAGTTCACTTATTTCTGAGAAACTTAAGAGAACACAAATTAAAATCTGAGACACTACTAAGCGTTGCTTTTTTTTCTTTTCTTTTTTTTGGAACTGTCTAAGCAGCCTTGGTGAGCAAAACTAGAACACTACCTCTACCTAGGTAGCAATTTGCTTGGTTTTACCAGTTTTTACCTGAGTATGACATGTTGCTATAGTTTTTAGAAATTTTATTGATTTTTTAATCAACATTGTTATTTTGAATCACTTTTATATGCATGCAAGTAAATTTAGTGACTCCTAAAGAAATTTTGTTTTAAGGGAACAGCTATGTTTTCTAAATTAGCAAACAAGTTTATTTGTATTCAGTTATCTGCTTGTGCATTTGTTTTCTGAAACCATTTTTTAAATTAACATTACTTATTCTGAATAAAGTAAAAAGAAGTGCTGAGAAAAAAGTTCTAATGTCGGGGGGGCGGAGCAAGATGGCCGAATAGGAACAGCTCCAGTCTCCAACTCCCAGCGCAAGCGACACAGAAGACCGGTGATTTCTGCATTTTCAGCTGAGGTACTGGGTTAATCTCACTAGAGAGTACCGGACAATCGGTGCTGGTCAGCTGCTGCAGCCCGACCAGTGAGAGCTGAAGCAGGGCGAGGCA